CAAGCGTAGCTGTGATGAACCCTTAAATTTGAGATTAATTTCTAGAGTACATTAGAATTAACATCAGAAACCTGTTGCAGTCCTGTGTGTCAGGTTAAAAAAAATTACAAGCATGTAAATGTCCTGTTGTACTTTCATGATTATAACAGTGTGTTTAGATTTCTGTTTTGTTTATAGTGGACCTGAATAAATTTTCATAATTGTATTTCCAGTTAAATATGTCTCTTTGTGGCCATTCTATATGATTATATTGACAGATATTAAGTGGTAGGCTACCTCTGTATTAAACATTTTTGATGCTTTTGACTGATTGAGGTAACACGACTACAGCAGGTTTACATGTAAGATGAGATTTCAGTTTTTCTGTGAGTAATGTGTGAGATACAGATACCAGCCAGAAATTCAGTGAGTTATTGAGTGGGAAGTACGTGTAAGTTGATCTAGACCTTCAAATGGATAGCGTGACAGACTGACAGATTATTTTGTCCCACGGCAGAAACACAAAAACACTGTGTATTGATGCCCTGTTTTGTCTGGATTCAGGCTCATTCATGTGTTAAAATTGTGTAATGTCATGTTTTCAGTGTTTTTTTTAGAGTTTACGAGAACAGGTTCTGAAATCCATGGCCATTCTTGTTAGTTGTTGTGGAAGTATCTAATAATGTTTTGAATAATGATGTTATGGAAATAAATTAAATTCAACAAGTCTAATGCAGATGATTTTCAAGTCTTAAATGGCATTAATAGTGTATCAGAGAGGCAACTGAAACCAACCCTTGATAGTTATCAATCATGTGCAATGAATATCAACTGAAAACTGTTTAGAATTACGTGTGGACCATTTTTAACACCTGTCCAAGTGGGGCATTACATTCATACCTTCCCACCAAAGATACCTGATGTTTTTGTAGTCAAACCATAAATATTTAATATAGTGTAGTTTTTATTCCAAAGTCTGAAAAATGTTTAAGGTATTAGATAAAACCACATGATCTTTTAACAAAAACGTCTTTAATGCCGGCCTCAGATTGTTTTCCTTTTAGTCCAGAAATGAAATAGAAAGAAATGTTTGTTAAAACAGGATTAATGTAAACTTGTTCAAGTTTAAAGAGAGTACTCTTGGAAAGTTTCCAGCTCACACTTATTTGTGTACTCACTACCTGGTTGTACCTGGAGTACAGTAATCTGTTCTACCTAACTCCAAACCCTACTTCCTGTCTCCATGGTAACTGATAGGATTTCCATGCCTTGGTCAAGACAGGTGCTGAGTTGTTTGTTCTTGGTAAATGACCAACCCTAGACTGGTTCCTAATCCGATAGAAAGACAACAGACTGCACCAGTTGTGTATTAATGGAGGAGAAAGAAACAAGATTCTTAATCAGTCCAGGTCATTGTAAAGGCCTTTCTCCATCTTCATTAAGTATGGCAAGGCACTCTACGAATATATTATATCGAACATGTATTGAAACAAGAACCATTGATCCTGATATTAATTCCCCTGTGCTGTAAGTTTACCAAGATGGCTGTCTTGGAAATATAAGAAGATAATATTTACAGGGATGTAGGTTTGTCTCAAATTGAGACTATGGTAGCTATTTAACCCTGTACCTGTCCACAGGTTAGAGTTTCCATGGTTACAGTATTGTATGGTATTGTTTAGGTTGGACTTTATGGGCTGTTTACAAACATTTCTACATTAACTCATGGAGTACTAATTGGTGATAAAATATGTAATGTGTATAAATGACTATTTGGCTGGCAGATCTGGAGGTACTGATGTCCTGAAGCCATTAAGCCTTTAGTCAGTATAATTATAGACCAGGGCTCTGGAGAAATATTTACAGAAAATTTCAGTTCCCAGAGATCTAAGGATCTCAACTAGATCTGTAGGACATTGTTAGCTTCAAGAGATCTCAACCAGCTCCTTTAGGAATTTGGCTAGCTCCAAGGTTCTTGATTAAACAAGCCACATATCAGTTGTTGTATATGTAGGTATTATACAATGTATCTAGGTTTCCTTCATTATTTCAATCTTACATATCTATAATGTTCCTGTGTAGTGTTTACACTATAGAAATACTCTAGTTAGATGGCTCGGTTGTCATACAAACCACTGCTGGTCTTACTACTGACATACTTGTTTAGTACTTATAAATAGAGGAGGACAGTATTTTGTGAATCATTATTAAACTGGTGTCATTAAGTTAGTGAAACTTGAGTGTATAGTACTCGGCAGAAACAATACTGTAGACTAAGTATACCCTGTCCTGGTCTTCTACGAGGTAAGTGGTGTAGTGTGCCTCAGTTACATCTCATAGCAACACCACTGCTGTGTAAAGATGGAGCTCCATGGCAGCTGTAACTAATATGATAGGTGGCTATGAAAAGATCATTTCCATTATTATTTAATGAGTTCAACATGATTCCTAAAAGAGAACTAGATCAGAATCTGTAAACAAACGACTTATATTTAATTCAGTGTCATGGCTTTTGGAATTTTAGGCTTACCTGCCAAACATCAGTTTAAGCATGAGGGTAATTGGGAACACTATAATACAAATGTACATACATGTATATAAGAGGTTTCATGCAGTCCATTTGGCAATTTGCCAATCATTTTAAGAAATACTATTGATAGTAATCTTACAGTACCTCCTCAGTTTGATCACTTCATCAAAAGAAATCTTACATATGAGTAACTTATAAGTAACTAGCGTGACTCGTCCTGTCACAGTCATACATCATCTATAGAGGGGTATTGACCTTAGATATTGGAGACTGAGAACTCTCCAGTGTGAAGGATACATTTATGCATTAATGGAGAATGGTGGGAGGCAAGTAATGCACAATGAGTGTACAAGTGTGATCATTGTGTATAATACATTTAATCAACTGACTTCAGTGACTTTGTTAGTTTTGAAGGTCATGATGACCTTGTACTTCGGTAGAACAGCTGAAAGGTCATAGTAATGGATATAAAACTTGTTAAGTGAATAATTAAGATTGGTTGTGTACACTGTATGTGATACTGATATATATGGGAGGTCTTGAACATGTGTTAAATAACACAGAACAAGAACAAACTCAAGTAATTCTGACTTATGTGAAGTAAATGTACATACTGCTGTTTTATTTGAAAATTTATGAGGAAGAATAATCAACTTTTTGCATTGTGAATCTGTGACATTACTCTCTGGAGGAAGTTTGCCTGGGTGTTACCTTTGAGAGACACTGGTTTGATCTTGTGCTCTTCAGTGATTCTTGGACTTCTATACCAGGTATACAATATATATACATGTCCTGTAATGTACTACTAGTAAACCTGGACATTCTGTGGCTTCAGATTCCCACACTGAGATTGATGAAAGGGCCATCCTAATTATTGGTTGTGACACAGATTTGGAGACTCCTCACACTGTTCTAGTTCAGATTTTATGTAGTTTGTAGTAGTAACACTGATATTCTGGTTCAACAACTTTTAGATGTTTCTATACATATCATAAGTGACAGAATTTTCTGAAGCACATCTTCTCTTTACTGACAAAAATAAACTGAAACTTGAATCCCATTGTGTATCAGGAGTGTAAATGGTGATAAATTGCCTACATTACAGAGCACTGGACTGTACTGTTTGTGAGAAAAAGTCCACAAGGACAGGCCAAGAAATACTGTGGTAGACGATGTTTTCAAAGACCTGAGAATACCAGTTCTATATATAAAAAAAGAAAAAAAGCATACATGATATGAAGTGATAAGAATACTCTTGAGGCCGTTGACAGTGAAATAAGGAGGTGATAAAACCCCAATGTATGTTGGCGTGTCGGATCTTATACATAGCATTCTAACAATAAATAAAACATCTAAGTGTAGACTTACCTAAGTTGATTTATTATAAAACCATTTCACAATAATATAAAGGTCCTGTCACGTTAGCTATTGAGTCCCATAAACTGTAAAATGAATAAGTCTCTCTTTCCATGTATAATTTAATGAGAATCGGTCAGTGTAGGTTCAAACTTAATATGAAGAAAAATGACTTTTCATGACTCGGAACCATCATTGAGATGGATTAAGCAAACAAGGAAAAATAATTAAGTTTTGAATGATTTTAAAAGATGAATACACAGCTTTATCAGAAACAAACAATGAAATCAACATATGTATCAAAATTACACAAGTAAAGAATACCAGAAGATTAAATTATAAAAAATTCATGAGAACTATTTAAATTGGCTTGGTAAGTCTACACCTACACACTAAGAAACAGGCAAGGCTTCTGTTAGATATGAAAATAAATCTGATTTTATATATACCATGATGTACTATATAAGCTCTGTACACTGTTAGACTTTCTCTTGTATGATTTTGAAACCTCTTCAACATTCCAAAGCCCCAGCAGCAATTATTGGCAGGCTACACCTATACATCAGCCTAGTGGTTTACTGTGGTTTACGCTGTTTTTAACTCTTGGTCTGAATATATATACACGCATCATAGTATCTCCATTAACTTTTATCTTTGGGAAAATACACTACCTGAAAAGTCATTGCCTATTTGTGAATGAGTTTTTCAAGACACAAGACCAATTGGTAAATGTACTACCAGTAATGGCATTTAACAGGCTTCCACCATCAAAAGGTGCCTTTATCGCTGTTGGCCTAATATAGGTTGTTTGTTGGAAATACAGATGTATCAGTCTGGAAAAAAATAGCATAAGCTATAAATATACACAAATACCACCTGCTTGTAATTGTGTTGAATGCATGAGACGGGGCTGTGTATCGAGTTTAGGTAATAGTTTGGTAACACCATTGTGTAGCATAGGTCACTGGAATCTACTGATAGAGGATTTACCAATTTAACACTAGGAATGGTGTTGTGTAACCTTTGACCATAAAGCTGACATGAGGTATATACAGAAGTATTGATATTAATACATACACCTATTGGCTGTATATATCTATTGAGTAATTATTTGCCTTTTCTTATGTACTTTCAGGAATTGATACAAGAAGTTAAAATAAGTCAAGGATCTATTGACCTCCTATTGGACAAAGGTCAAAGATTCTTGGAGACATTTCCAGACATCAAACTTAGGGTTGATCTGGAAAACTTGGCATTTTACTGGAGGACTTATGTGAAGGAGTTGCAGTCGTTTGACAACCTTCAGAGCTGCTGGCTTTCTACTAGGAGGCCAGAGACCAAGACAGGAAATTGTCACCTGCTGCTCAAACAAGACTTGTCTCCTTTGTCTGACCTTGGTAAGAGGCCGCAGTGCATCCCAAGGTCACAGGAATGGAAGCCATGTGTCTACAGCTATGTTAAGTCTGTTGAGAATCAAAAATCTCAACAGCATCCACAAGCCCCAGTTACCAAGATAAACAGGCAAACTCATGAGATTGCCAGTCAACCGAGCTCTTCAATAACGGAAGAGCCAAAAGGTAAAGAAGCATCTGGTAGCCATTTTGTACCGAGCTTACAGGTTGGTTCCACTATACGGAAGTCCACCTGTTTCACCTACCTTCCAGACTTGTATAAATCCAAAAACCCTACAACTACCCACCGTTTATACAGCAGTATGGAAGGACTTCGCTCTGGTCCCAGATCGCCACTTTCCGCAAGAAAAGGGGAGGGGAACTTACGCACCTTTTCACCCACTTTCGACAAGACTGGACTAAAGGACAAAAAGCTCGGGTCAAACCCTGAGCTGTCCTTTATTCCAGACTCGCCTACTGAACCGAAGCGACGAAGAATGGTGGATGACATGTCCATCTGTAGCAATGTTAGTAGCCAGGTTAGCAGTCGCTCACATTCGCCAACACTTTCGATAAATTCTGAGACAACTTTGGATGACAGCTACCTAAGTACTCCCAGTTGCTCACCAGCTGCCACCCTTAAAGATCAGTTCAAGAAACGCTATAGCAAATATGAACTGACCATTGAGTCGGATCTGATGGATCAGTGTCTGATGGACTATGATCTTCTGGAGGCTTGTAAGGTAAGCACATTTCAGCAAATCTCAAGGTAGTATTAGTAACAATAACAACCATCCAATAGTAACACTTCTAACATTTTCACCACCAAACATTTAAAATCAAGCATGAAATACAGCTGGCAATCTTTGCGGAAATATCTCTAGAACAATAGAACTATGTAAACCAACATCCCAGTAAATGTTTCCTTGTCAGGTAACACTATATCTCTATCAATACAATTATATCTGTTATGAGTAAACTAAAACACGAGCATTGAAATAAGACTTACAGAGGTTGTGTTTGAATAGTTAATGCTTTTTCTAAAAGAATCAATTAAAATGATAGAAACAATGTTGAAAATTCAGAAACTAGTTTGAAATTGTGAAAATTTGTGTCAGTGTTATGTTGTATTAACTGGTTTTTAATAGCTTGTTAAATCGGAAGAAATAATAATCAGGCAAGGAAAATTAGAGTGATGTCTTCTTCACTTGGTGTTGTGACAGAGATCGATTTTATGTGTGTATGGTTCCTGTGGTATAAATTTCTTACAAAGATTACATGAAAATATAAAAACATCTGAATATATAAAAAAAAAAAAACAGAAATATATGACCAACTGTTTTGCTTTGTTACATCACATGAGCTGCTCTTCACTTTAAAAGTGCCAAAAATTCTACTGCTGTTTTGAAATCAGTTTAACATGACACGGTTAAGATATATCACTGTAAAAAGTCCTGGAATAATAGTCACACACTTGGTTCCCTCGGAACTGTTTCCCAGACAGTTTTACTCTTTTTTTAACCCCATTTTATTGAGGACACTTGTGATAGATCTTTTTGAGGAAGGTGAATAAGTGACACTGATGTTTGATCTTGTGATGGGTGGCTTTGTATGGTGTTTTTGTAGAGTTAGGAACATGTGACGGGTCGACCATTGTACTGTGTTGGCCTCTTTTATAAAATTCAGAACACGTGACTAGAGAACCATTGTATGGGTTGTTTCAACTTGTCTGATTTTTTGTAGAGTTGGAAACGTGACTAGCTCAGAACCATTGTCTACTGTTATTTTCTGTATGATAAATGCTCTGTGCTGAAAACAATACAATTTTTTTGTTATATGTGTGGAAGCAGTTTGAAATTAAATCTGACAATGTTTTGCTATCTCCATTCTGCTTGCAGTGGTGAATAGAAATTATTTTATGAAATGTTATTGGATTTCCAACAAATTGGACATATGCACATTTGATGCTAGAGAGATTGTTTCATGTGTAACTGAACTTGATACATAAGTACCAATGTTTTTTATTCAGGTTCCTTGGTATTCTGTTTTTACTAAATTCCAATTAAAAATCTTAATTGAATGCAATGTAAGATTATTATTCTGTATCTTACCTACCAGAAGCCAATACTACATTTCTAAATACTATTGTAACAATTGCTTCTGGATCCCTGTAGTCTACATCACCTGTTTTCAGTAATATATGGTTTTAAGCTGCTCAATCTGTCTGTATTGGACAGCAGCATTTGTCAGTAGAGATCGCAGTTTAGAGGTATACCCCACAACTTCTACTTACCAGATGGATAGTATCTGGTCCAGCGTAAGCCCTGTTTAAGATGTGTACTGGTTCACCTCAGATAGACAGATAGTCTAAAGGAGGAATATAAACAAGGATAAAAAGTTCTTAGATATTGATTAATGGGGCAGGCAGTCAAAAATGGTTGGATATGACAAAAATATTTTTTTAGAAGAGAAAATTAAATGATTTCATGACTACTCCTATGATGACTGATTATTTTACTTATTATTTTTACAAGCTGTTCTTATCATTGGTTATTGAATCAAAATATCCCCAAAAAACCTGAAAAGTTTTCAGATTTAATCGGCAGTTTCAGAAACTTGTTCAGAGGATGAATTGCAATTTTTCTTGACATCTGTGATCTTGTGAATACTGTCCACACATTGGGTCATCTTGAGTACAAATTCCTTTATACTCATGAGAGAAGACATAAAATATCCCAATAGAACCAAAAAATAACAAATGTGTTTGTCATTTTGTAATCAAATGTCATTTATTTAGAGTAAAACCCAGACAAAATATGACAGATCTACACCATTATAAGTCTCTGATGCAGACCAAAACAACATTATACACCTGTATTTCCAGTCTGACTTATGTTCACCTGTCTTTTGCAGTCTGCAGAAAGCGATGAGGAGAATATTGGCCTCAATGCCAAAGTTTCGTTGGCCGAGTTCCAGCAGCAGTACCGAGAGCTGTCCCAATGGCTTGACCAGGTACTCCAGGTGACCAAGCGCACCATGGGAACTCTGGCCCTATCTGAGAAGTATCTCACTCAGGTGGGTACACAATATCAATACTTCATTTTTGCATTTGGCATGTACATACCTATTTGCATCCATAAATCACTGGTTTGTTAAAAAGTGAACATTAACATCCCTATTGAACTTCATTGAATCTCTGTAAAGGGATGAAACTTTAAGGTACATATTTGTGTAGTGTAGTGATGTAGATTTAGATATCAACAGCTTTATTATTTTTTTATCTTCCTGTAATGCTCTCAGTTCATAAAAAGACAAACGCTATCAACAGCTTTCCTAATATGGTCAGAATACTATCCTTTAATAGATTTATATTATATGGGTCATTTTCAAAAAGCTGGAAAAAAAATCCCAAGCAAATGCCATCCTCTTTACTAAGGTTGATATTATGATTGATGACCCCTGCTGTTGTTGCCAGTGACATGAATTAGAAGGTAATATATCATGCTTCAGGTCTGACTACCAATATAGGAAACAATTAGTTTCTGTTGGAAAGGTTAGAAGGAAAATGTGTATACCATGTCATGTAAATATTATTGTTATGAATACATGCCTGTTTGACATTTTAGTCAGTGGTGCATGTTATTTGATAATGAATGGAATTGTTAAGGTAAATTTCAATATTTCTAACAGTCAGAATGAAAAGCTACTAAACACTGGGATAATTTGGAAACAGCTAAATAATACTTATATATAGAGAGACCTCCTGTTCTGGTTCAAGATCTGAGGATGAATTACCCGGGTAGTAGTCAGTGAAAACAAGGTCTATATATAGTTGTAGTTTGCTTCAGATACAGCTTACAATGGCAAATTTCCTACAGTGAAGACATTACATGAAATAAGTTTGATGAAAGAGTAACACCCATCAATAAATAATTACTCTAGTCCAGGACATAATGAGAAGTAGAGCCAGTTTATCTTATACTAGTGAATAAAATTATGTACAAACGTAATCCAGGAAACGATGAGTAGAGCTAGTTTATTTTATACTAGTGAATGAGATCGTGTACAAAAGTAATCAGTGATGTCAACAGCTGTCTTTATTGATGACTTTTACACCAATGTTACAAAGAAGATGGATTGATTTCGCTTGTTTTTCATTCTATTAACATATTTCTGTAAGTCTCTGTGTGCCTTCTGGAATGGGGCTTAGTTAGGGTTAATTTTCTTAGTGACTTCACTTAGATAAGGTATATTTATTAACCAAACTTCATGGATTCATGGATTTCTGATATACTTTAGCAATTAGTAGCTTTTGTTTAATTTTTCTGTATGTGATAGAAATAGAATTTACAGGTTTATGTGATGGTAAAAGTCTTATGCTCTCATACTTATGTACTATTTTTGTGGATTAATGTGAGAGACTGCCAACTCCCAATTTTAGACATGTTGAACAGCAAGTCATTCACAATTTTCAAAATTTAATTAGTATAACACAGACAACAGCTTAAAAATCAAATTCATCAAAAGAAAGTCTATAGTAACACTTTATTGCAGTTTTGAAAAGTTAAAATGTCACCATAGAAATCCAGAAAGTTGAAAATTCCAGTAAATCTTTGACAATTTCATTTCTTCTAATTACCAGACAATGACATTGATCAAGACAGATGAGATAGATTATGTCATGTAGTATTAGGCAGGCAACTGGTCACCATGGAAATGTGGATGTGAAAGGCCCTCTTACATAATATGTTGACTCATGTGATCAACACACAGCTTCCTCACTGCTGAAGTCACACATATAGGAAGAGCTGTCTTTTCTCTGCATCAGTTCTCTTTGTATCCATGGTGACTTAAGGTAGATAATTACCTGAAATTTACTTTCTTTACAATCATGTAAGTGAATGTCTGTTCTAAAAACATCTTTTGTTGTTCCTTTAAATAAAATCGATATTTCTATATTCTTAGGAATCATGAGACAATAGAAGAAAAGTTAGTGTTCCTTCAGGGTTGTAATTCAGCCAGAAGGGCCACACAATTAGCATCAAATTAGTACTGGCACCCTTTTAAGTATGTTTATTAATATCCTACTTTCTGACTTTTGTTTATTAATAGACTCGACTACCACATGGCTTTTATATCAGAAAATAGTCTGTCTCCAGTATCTCTATTTGGTAGATTGATTCAGGTTTCTTTTCTGATGTCTGGAGCTGTATAATTGCCAAGACAAGTATAATAAATAGATGTTGTCAGAACATTTCCAGACAAATGTTTGATTGGTATTATGTAGTGGTATATTAAGAGTCCTGTATGCTCAGACCTTCCAATAATTACTTTCAGTGTAGATTACTGTAAGCTGATTGAGTAAAATAACTCCACAGGGAGTCAAACCAGTTTGGAAATATCAGGAAGCAAATTAGTCTCCATATGTCACTGAAGTGGTCAGTGCGAGATGACCAAGTGTACTGATGGTCTAGTGACTATTGTACTAATGACTGACCAATACATCACATGGCGACTAGCCATGACAGATCAAGATGACCCATAGGAATTATAATGTATCCTGACACTCCCCATGTGTCAATGTCCATTCTGTGACATGGTCCTTACACCAGGCGCCTGCTTGTCCCAACACATAAAAGGTCTTTTACGAACAAACTGTAACCCTTACCTTAAATAAACTGTGACACAATATGTAGGATATCGCCAAATTCTGCAAATAAACTTTGGTTTACAATAAAATACTCAAAAAATTAGTTATATTAAGTAATTTATTTGATGATCTGTTAAACAATTTTATTGAAGTGTAACAAAATGAAGCTGGAAATGGATAACTTGTTGATCAATATAAAAATAGATTTGTTGCATTAAAAAGAACATCTATTACCGAGCTATTCACCTGTGTCTTTTGTATGACTCTTTGTTCATTGGTATGTACCTTTTTGTCTGTTGTCTGCTTCATACCAGTTTCACCTCAATGTTGGAGAGTTGCCACGAGGAAAATATTCAAGCTTCACATCTGTCTGTGATTTGTAATGTTACATTAACCACAGACCAAGAGACAATTATGTTTAAAAGCGATTTTAACACAAAAAACTAGATGTAAGATTGTCTCTTCTTCACTCAACTAAATGCTTTCAATTGTGAAACCTGTGAAAAGCACAGATGAAACTTTAAAGCTGTTTTAAATTCCATAACATATGTAAATGTACATGTGTATATGCCCCTGAAAACTACCATATACATATTTTATCGTGCATTAAATCATTGATGCTAGTGATACACTGTGAGGTGTATGGTTTGGAGACATGGCTGGTTTTATTTGCATTTCTTTTCATGCTGTGAGTTTGTCAGTAACTTACAAGTCTTTGATCGTCCCAATCTTTTAAATTTCATGAATGTTAAAATGCTAGTGATGATAAATGGGTACTTAATGTCTGAAAAGAAAGTAGAATCCTTGATCATATCCTATTAATTGTAGTGTGGAAGTAAAAATATATTATTCTGATGTTATCTGTGTAATTGAAGTCTGGTTTGGTGTCTAGTTTGATCACTACCTGATCTGATGATTCTACATCAAGGAAATATTGGATACCTGAAGATTTAGAATATCTGTGACAATCAAGCATCTTGAGGTGTCGGATTAGAAAATTCTATACGAGTTTGAATTTAGGTCATAACTCAGGGTTTACATCGGATCGGAACCAAAATTCAGCAACTGAGGACTGAATGCTATGATCCAGCTTACACTATAGTGTAAAACGAAAGATTTCTTCCTGAAATGCTTTCCTGAAAATTTGTTTAAAAATGATAATGACACTGTGAATACAGTCATAACTAACATGGTAGTGCACAAATTAATGAAAACCAATTGAAATTTTTTTTTTTTTTTTTAAGTTTAAAAACTGTTAATTTCTAGACTTTTAAATTATGTCATATGTAAAATAGAAATAGCGATATATTTATAAATGTCAACAATAACTGACTGAATATTTTGAACTTATATATCTGTGTGCTTCATAACCTGGTTAGGTTTAAGGGGAAAATCAAGTTTAGAAAGTGTGGTCACATTGTTTATCTACAGGTATATGCAATTTGTAAGGTCATTTTTCCCACCTACATGACAAATCTCAACCACAGATGCAATTCCTCTTTTTCAATCAGAGACTGTTGAAGGGTGGATACTAAAGAATCTTACTTCATAGGTTGATATTTGTAAATTTCATGTTTCATATTTTAAAATATATGTATGTGATGTAATGTTAGAGGATATTGATGGTGTCCCCAGTAACCTCAAGGAGTTGTGGGTCATGCTGTTTGTCCCTGATGATAACTACTGAAAGCCAACCCATCAATCTCAAGACCTAGTGGAGCCTATCATGCATTACATGTCCTGCCACCGGGACATCAGTTGTTTATTTTTACAAAATAGGAAGTAGTGACAAGGTCTTCTGTAAAGTTGTTTGTCTTAAAATAGATGTCCAAATCAGTATACTCCGGTAAGGATCCATGTTAATACATTTTGTACAGTATAATTCAGTTTCTCAGCTATACACACCTTTATTTAACATGTCCATGCCATATTGAAATCTGCCGTGTGTCTGTATGACCTAAGGCAGCCTACTGAATAACTGTTTATGATACAGGTATACATGCCTACCTGTATACAGAGGTGTTTGTTAACGACTTTCTGACAGGTGCTTCACCTTATACAGTGATAAAGATGTTAAGATTTATAGTGGGTTATCAACAATTTTGACACTTGACGATCACTGAAACTAATATACACACTTTTCTGTAGGTTATTTCTGGTAATACCAATAGCCTGTCACTATAGAAATATTTGGACTGCATGAAACAGCAATTTTTAGTTATAGTGTATTTGAATATTTCCTTGAATTATTTGAAATAAAAACGGTTTTTCTGACCCTGACACTCAGAAGACCAGTACCTTGTTTTAGTGAGACAATCACAAGATACTACATTGTGATTTACATGCAGACAATGTCATAAACTGTTATTGGTACTTAATTGTGATGGATGGCCATCATAAAGGGGAAGGGTTTTGTTTGTTATCGACTGAAAGGAGTGAAATATTCATTAATGGTAATTATGTGGTGACTTATGTTGACAAATGTTTAATGTCATCATTCAATGACAGACTCTCATTATAATAGCTATTGATTTTACTGACTTTGCCTTATGTTAAGAGCAATCTTGGAAATATTAGCATTTTGTAAAAATAACTTTTTTGTCTTGAAATAATAGTGCTCAGAACTTTTCTAGACCTTTCTTTTGGGCATTCTAGAATGGTTTGCTCTAAAACAAACAGAGTTATCCCCCTTCCTCCTGATTTTCTATTACCTAGTGCAGTAGTGCAGTGTCTATGCATGTCCTTAGGTACTGACAAGCAGTATTTTCTTGTGTACATTTTTTTTTAAATGCATGTGTATACCTACTTTCAGGTATTGTTGTATTTAATAACATAGCCTTTGTTATCATAAAAAAAATTCAGAATGACTCCTGTATGTATTTATACCTTTGGTCTGGTAACAAACCATCAGTGTTAAAGCTATATTGTCTCCTCATAAAACACCATTGCTTTCAGATATCATCATTGACAAGTTTGACTACCAAGTTTGTAAGTGACATCTGTGAAAAAAATTGTAATCATTCACCACTTGTAATATGCTTTTTGTGTTGGAAGCCAAGGGGAGGCAACTCCAATAGAACTGTGACATTTGCTTTTACTGGTTAAATACTGCACATAAATCTCTGGTTATCCCTTGTAATAAATACACTGTAAACACTTGTGTACACATGTAACCAACTCACCCAGGATAATAACTCAACATTCATGTCTAGTACTAAAACCGAATCATTCTACACTGTAATAGACATCCTTGATGTTAAAGACAATTTTCAGGTAACCAGGAAAAGTCTACTTCCTAGTCAGAAAACCAGTACTAATTGGCTCAATACTAACAGGTTATCTATTATCATATAACCAGAATCAATTTAATTCATCATCAAATAATCAAATTATTATTTACCACAACAAGTATATATATCTTATTACTAGAAAACTTTACAAATTAAATGTATATACAACAGGTGATTTTAGGACACAAATCTTCTGTAAAACAGCACCATGTATAAAATAAAGCCTGATCGTTGATACAACTGGTGATTCTAGGACACAAGTCTTCTGTAACACACCACCATATGTAAAATAAAAGCCTGATCATTGTGTACACTACTTATAGAGATTGTATGTGTAATACAAACAACACACCAGGTGTGAGGATATTGGTAAAGTGTGATGATCACCATCATCACTAAGTTTAGTAACGTTGTGATTGTCGGTATGAAGAATGTATAACTGTAACATGTATTCTAACATTCAGATATTTAGCAGTGAACATGATAACCTATGGGGGACATATGTATTGTAATTACTTGGTGTTTATTTGTATAGTGTTACTAACAGCATGTTATAAAACTGTCTATATAAAAATCTATACAACAGGTTTGACCTAACAGGTGCTCTGGGTACAAAACAGTTTGAATAAGAATATTTACTAACAGAACTTTTCAAAGTTGTGATTCTGTGAGATATATTAAAAGATGTAGTTATAAGTATAGGGTGTTTATTAAGTCAAGCTTAGTACCTTTTTCTTATCTTTACAGGATCTGTCATTGTCATCAGGTTTTCCAGTATTCTGTAAACTTTATGATTTTTACTACCATTTTTTAGGATAACATAATTTGGCAGTTGGTAGGAATTTTTATGTTTTTAAACTTTAAATTTGCCTGTTTTCAGTTTACAGGACTGCATTTTAACTTTAAAAAAAATCATAAACAGAAAGGTAAGAATTATGATAACCATATTTGGCAGATGTATGATTATCAAAAACAATACATAAAATGTTTGTATCTCTTCAGAGTTACCACGAAGAGCTACTGAAGCAGTCCCCCCGCCACAAGCTCTTCAATGAATATGCTAAGCAGCTGCTACAGCGCCGCTCTAGCTTGAAAGGGGAGATAACAAAATGTCTGAACCATGTAAACAGCCAGTGGGAGGTGGTAGAGAAGGCTGTGTCCTGTAAAGACATTTGGCAGGACAAGGAAACTGTGCTAAAAGGTAACACATTTACTTGCAACAGCATCTTAAGTTGTAAGTACTTCTATACTCTTTAAAGAATAATAGTTTTGTTGACCTTAAACACTAAATAAGCGTAGACAATGCACAGCAAAAAAATTGTAAAAATAATTACAAAGAGTATTTTTAGTATTTTATCTTGTATGTAATCAACCTGTTACCATGACTATAAGGTAAACAATTAACAATCAATATTTAACATTTTATAGGCTAAAGACAATTTAGAAATGTTAATTATATGGAAATATAATATCAGTGTTTTCAAAGATTTTGGTTTAAAGATGATACATCAAAGAGATTTCTGTAGATGTAGATATGATATTGTAGATGTATGTTTGATATCTACATTACCAGATATATCATGGAACACATAAATCATTAAACGCTTCACTATAACTGATAATATTAGCTAGTTATATCAACAATATAAGATCATTTCCTCGGTATATGTAAGGGTTTTATGGTTTTTGTTAATTTGGCAGATCTTGAGGCAGACATCGTTTGCCTGAGGAAATGGCTGGATGGAGTGGAGCACAGTCTTTCGACATTTGACAAACCTCACTTCACTGATGAGGAACTACACAGGAAACTCCTGGAGCATCAGGTATGTTGTTTGATTTCAGTGCATCTTTTTTATATCTGATTGAATTTTATGTGTTGAACCCACAGAATAATTCAAGTAAAGGAAAACAACTGGCATTGGTTTTTACAGTTAAAGGGAAATAACTGTGGTAAAAAAAAATACAATTTAAGGGAAATAACTCTTGTAGGAATAAGATTGTTACAATAAGTATTGTGTAATAAATGATTCACTAATAAGTAAATCATCAGGATATGAATGACTATTTCCTAAAATGTAACAACATTTGTCTGAAAACTAAAGTGTTTTTCCTACTTATAGCCCTCTCTTTAAATGATTATTGAAAGTAATGATATCTGAATAACCCAAATATGTGAATTACCTGCAATATATTTGCATTTGCTGCAGTTTTGTTATACCCACAGTTAGGATAAATCTATTTATATTATTTTTTTTCATTGTTTAATTATAATTATGATTCATCCTTTTATCAATTTATGAATTTTAGAACAATTTTGAATTTTATATAAACAAGGATACGTAAGATGTAAATGAAGCATAGTATAAGAATTTTGAGTATAGAGGGGTTCATTTTATATAGGTAAGACACTGGTGTTCATTTTATATAGGTAAGACACTGAGGTTCATTTTATATAGGTAAGACACTGGTGTTCATTTTATATAGGTAAGACACTGGTGTTCATTTTATATAGGTAAGACACTGGTGTTCATTTTATATAGGTAAGACACTGGTGTTCAGTTTATATAGGTAAGACACTGGTATTCAGTTTATATAGGTAAGACACTGGTGTTCATTTTATATAGGTAAGACACAGGTGTTCATTTTATATAGGTAAGACACTGGTGTTCATTTTATATAGGTAAGACACTGGTGTTCATTTTATATAGGTAAGACACTGGTGTTCATTTTATATAGGAAAGACACTGGTGTTCAGTTTATATAGGTAAGACACTGGTGTTCATTTTATATAGGTAAGACACTGGTGTTCAGTTTATATAGGTAAGACACTGGTATTCAGTTTATATAGGTAAGACACTGGTGTTCATTTTATATAGGTAAGACACAGGTGTTCATTTTATATAGGTAAGACACTGGTGTTCATTTTATATAGGTAAGACACTGGTGTTCATTTTATATAGGTAAGACACTGGTGTTCATTTTATATAGGAAAGACACTGGTGTTCAGTTTATATAGGTAAGACACTGGTGTTCATTTTATATAGGTAAGACACTGGTGTTCATTTTATATAGGTAAGACACTGGTGTTCATTTTATATAGGTAAGACACTGGTGTTCATTTTATATAGGTAAGACACTGGTGTTCATTTTATATAGGTAAGACACTGGTGTTCAGTTTATATAGGTAAGACACTGGTGTTCATTTTATATAGGTAAAGACACTGGTGTTCATTTTATATAGGTAAGGCCCAGGTGTTCATTTTATATAGGTAAGACACTGGGGTTCATTTTATATAGGTAAGACACTGGTGTTCAGTTTATATAGGTAAGACACTGAGGTTCATTTTATATAGGTAAGACACTGGTGTTCAGTTTATATAGGTAAGACACTGGTGTTCATTTTATATAGGTAAGACACTGGTGTTCATTTTATATAGGTAAGACACTGGTGTTCATTTTATATAGGTAAGACACTGGTGTTCAGTTTATATAGGTAAGACACTGGTGTTCATTTTATATAGGTAAAGACACTGGTGTTCATTTTATATAGGTAAGGCCCAGGTGTTCATTTTATATAGGTAAGACACTGGGGTTCATTTTATATAGGTAAGACACTGGTGTTCAGTTTATATAGGTAAGACACTGAGGTTCATTTTATATAGGTAAGACACTGGTGTTCAGTTTATATAGGTAAGACACTGGTGTTCATTTTATATAGGTAAGACACTGGTGTTCATTTTATATAGGTAAGACACTGGTGTTCATTTTATATAGTTAAGACACTGGTGTTCATTTTATATAGGTAAGACACTGGTATTCATTTTATATAGGTAAGGCCCAGGTGTTCATTTTATATAGGTAAGACACTGGTGTTCATTTTATATAGGTAAGACACTGAGGTTCATTTTATGTAGTTAAGACACTGGGGTTCATTTTATATAGGTAAGACACTGAGGTTCATTTTATATAGGTAAGACACTGGTGTTCATTTTATATAGGTAAGACACTGGTGTTCAGTTTATATAGGTAAGACACTGGTGTTCATTTTATATAGGTAAGACACTGGTGTTCAGTTTATATAGGTAAGACACTGGTGTTCATTTTATATAGATAAGACACTGGTGTTCATTTTATATAGGTAAGACACTGGTGTTCAGTTTATATAGGTAAGACACTGGTGTTCAGTTTATATAGGTAAGACACTGGTGTTCATTTTATATAGGCAAGACACTGGTGTTCATTTTATATAGGTAAGACACTGGTGTTCATTTTATATAGGTAAGGCCCAGGTGTTCATTATATAAAGGTAAGACACTGGTGTTCATTTTATATAGGTAAGACACTGGTGTTCAGTTTATATAGGTAAGACACTGGTGTTCATTATATAAAGGTAAGACACTGGTGTTCATTTTATATAGGTAAGACACTGGTGTTCATTTTATATAGGTAAGACACTGGTGTTCATTTTATATAGATAAGACACTGGTATTCAGTTTATATAGGTAAGACACTGGTGTTCAGTTTATATAGGTAATACACTGGTGTTCATTTTATATAGGTAAGACACTGGGGTTCATTTTATATAGGTAAGACACTGGTGTTCAGTTTATATAGGTAAGACACTGAGGTTCATTTTATATAGGTAAGACACTGGTGTTCAGTTTATATAGGTAAGACACTGGTGTTCATTTTATATAGGTAAGACACTGGTGTTCATTTTATATAGGTAAGACACTGGTGTTCATTTTATATAGGTAAGACACTGGTGTTCAGTTTATATAGGTAAGACACTGGTGTTCATTTTATATAGGTAAAGACACTGGTGTTCATTTTATATAGGTAAGGCCCAGGTGTTCATTTTATATAGGTAAGACACTGGGGTTCATTTTATATAGGTAAGACACTGGTGTTCAGTTTATATAGGTAAGACACTGAGGTTCATTTTATATAGGTAAGACACTGGTGTTCAGTTTATATAGGTAAGACACTGGTGTTCATTTTATATAGGTAAGACACTGGTGTTCATTTTATATAGGTAAGACACTGGTGTTCATTTTATATAGTTAAGACACTGGTGTTCATTTTATATAGGTAAGACACTGGTATTCATTTTATATAGGTAAGGCCCAGGTGTTCATTTTATATAGGTAAGACACTGGTGTTCATTTTATATAGGTAAGACACTGAGGTTCATTTTATGTAGTTAAGACACTGGGGTTCATTTTATATAGGTAAGACACTGAGGTTCATTTTATATAGGTAAGACACTGGTGTTCATTTTATATAGGTAAGACACTGGTGTTCAGTTTATATAGGTAAGACACTGGTGTTCATTTTATATAGGTAAGACACTGGTGTTCAGTTTATATAGGTAAGACACTGGTGTTCATTTTATATAGATAAGACACTGGTGTTCATTTTATATAGGTAAGACACTGGTGTTCAGTTTATATAGGTAAGACACTGGTGTTCAGTTTATATAGGTAAGACACTGGTGTTCATTTTATATAGGCAAGACACTGGTGTTCATTTTATATAGGTAAGACACTGGTGTTCATTTTATATAGGTAAGGCCCAGGTGTTCATTATATAAAGGTAAGACACTGGTGTTCATTTTATATAGGTAAGACACTGGTGTTCAGTTTATATAGGTAAGACACTGGTGTTCATTATATAAAGGTAAGACACTGGTGTTCATTTTATATAGGTAAGACACTGGTGTTCATTTTATATAGGTAAGACACTGGTATTCAGTTTATATAGGTAAGACACTGGTGTTCATTTTATATAGGTAAGACACAGGTGTTCATTTTATATAGGTAAGACACTGGTGTTCATTTTATATAGGTAAGACACTGGTGTTCATTTTATATATACTGGTGTTCATTTTATATAGGAAAGACACTGGTGTTCAGTTTATATTCAGGTTCATTTTATATAGGTAAGACACTGGTGTTCATTTATATATAGTATTCAGTTTATATAGGTAAGACACTGGTGTTCATTTTATATAGGTAAGACAGGTGTTCATTTTATATAGGTAAGACACTGGTGTTCATTTTATATAGGTAAGACACTGGTGTACATTTTATATAGGTAAGACACTGGTGTTCATTTTATATAGGTAAGACACTGGTGTTCATTTTATATAGGTAAGACACTGGTGTTCATTTTATATAGGTAAGACACTGGTGTTCATTTTATATAGGTAAGACACTGGTGTTCATTTTATATAGGTAAGACACTGGTGTTCAGTTTATATAGGTAAGACACTGGTGTTCATTTTATATAGGTAAAGACACTGGTGTTCATTTTATATAGGTAAGACCCAGGTGTTCATTTTATATAGGTAAGACACTGGTGTTCATTTTATATAGGTAAGACACTGGTGTTCATTTTATAGTGTTCATTTTATATAGGTAAGACACTGGTGTTCATTTTTTATATAAGACACTGGTGTTCATTTTATATAGGTAAGACACTGGTAAGACACTGAGGTTCATTTTATATAGGTAAGACACTGGTGTTCATTTTATATTCACTGGTGTTCATTTTATATAGGTAAGACACTGGTGTTCATTTTATATAGGTAAGACACTGGTAAGACACTGGTGTTCATTTTATTAAGACACTGGTGTTCATTTTATATAGGTAAGACACTGGTGTTCAGTTTATATAGGTAAGACACTGGTGTTCAGTTTATATAGGTAAGACACTGGTGTTCATTTTATATAGGTTCATTTTATATAGGTAAGACACTGGTGTTCATTTTATATAGGTAAGACACTGGTGTTCATTTTATATAGGTAAGACACTGGTGTTC